GTCGGAGATTCAAGAGTACTAAGAAACCTTTTAACAAATTCATCGCCATTTCCTTTTAAAGTGTGTTCAGAAAGAATAATAGATTTTCACTTTCTTAGCGCTTACAAAATTCTCAGAGAAACAATTTTGGCGGCCATTTTACTTTGCTGGATTGGTTGCTACGCGGTGGGGACTGAGAACTGGTAAAATAGCGAAACAAACTTCCAAACTTCTAAACAAACTTACCGACAAATCGAGTTCTTAGTCGGTTTCAAGACAGAGATAGGAAGCTACCCTGTGGGGGCCGCAGTTAATACAAGTGATACCAGTAAAAGGGAATTACAATTATTTTACACTATCTTTTAAAATAAAGCTTCACGTTTCACGCTCAAAATACTTTGCTTTTTCGTCCTTCTTCTGTGCGGCAGAGAAACGTGGCAACAAAATTATGGCTCGAGGTCGTCCACTAAAGTAAAAAGTGTTTCAACAACCATAAATAAAATAAATAAATAAATTGAGGCAAAATCTCAGTCCACTCAAACATCTCTTTCAACCAGGCGCATATGAGGACTGAGTCCCGTTTAAGAGTAACGAGCATCACAGCGTGTTACTAAGCGCACGATTCAATGATTCCTTGCCTTAAAGTGTTGCATCGCATACGTGTCGCTTGTCACGCATATCGTGCTTTGTTTTTCTCCTCTCCGGTTGCTCATCATTACCCTACCTGTAGCTAACTTGCGGAATTACTTCTTTACCTCGCGAAACTCGCAAAGTAAGCATGTCGCTTAGAGCACGCGTTAAACTACAAGTAGACCCTTAAGTCCGTCAGGGATAGTAGAGCAAGAAAATAGAAGAGAGCGCGCGTGAAAATCGCCAACCGTGAGCAAAGGCTACAGCGGACGAAAGGGAGAAAATTGGGGAAATATTCTTGTGGGTTACTTGATGCCCATAGCAGACAAGAAACACAAGTGACAGTGTAGCAGTGGGCATTAATAGTGTTGCGCGTAGGACGTATAACGTGGAAGACGTGGAAGGGTCATGTTATACCGGGTTTCAAAGAGAGATTTGCCGGTTTTCCTTTCCCACTTGCAGCCAAGAGCAAAATATAAACCACTACACGTCTTTGCCTCCGGGCTTTTTATAGCCCTTATATTCCCACCGCTTTAGGTACGAAACCTAAGGCCTGATGTCTCACATCTAAATAATCTTGACAGTAAGTATTACATCATTGTAGGATTCTACAAAGTTTATGAATAAAGTTTCATCCGTATTGCATGATTCAATGGTGTAGTCTAAAACACAGAAAAAAACATAGGCACACGTGAGCAGGAAAAGAGTGTTTAATGAACGATTTTTTTTCCACTTTTGTTTCTTCTATTTGGTAAAAAACGATTTTATTGTTCATCCTTCTAGTCAAGCAAAACATAGTAACCAGGACGACGCAAAGAATCTCATCTATATTCAGACGTAGCCTTCTGAACACACATAGTTAGTGCAGGACAACAAAGGTGAACAAATAGAAGCCGAAAGGCCTAAAATGGACTGTGAACTATGCTGTTAAATTGGATACAACAATTACGGTAGGTGTCATTCATTGTGTGGCAAGATTCTCTCATTTTTTGCAAGCTTTTAAGTGTCGTCAAGACTCGCTAAAAATATATATTTTTTAGTGTTGTTGGCCCGTCACTCTGATTTCGTTTAAATGCAGGACATACATGTAATTTGTAATCCTTGATTATAATTATCAAAATAATATCCATCAATGAAAATATGCCTATGGACGTATGTTATAAGATTTGAAAACGAGCTTTCTAGAGGCAGGTTTCCTTAAAAACAAACAAAATGACAAGTTACATGCACGGTGACTAAGCGATTAGGAGCATTGAATGCGGTTGGTTTCTTAAGGTGCTTAGTTCAAAGTTCCGCATTGGAATCTAAACAAAGCGATTATCGTTAATTCTATGTTAGCTTAGAATAATGTAATATTTCAAAAGTTTTATTCCCGAAATATGTTGTTATAAAATTCGGAATTGGTGGACATTTTAACGCTCGGGCTGGAACGTACACCTAGAGGTCAGTGTCTGAACGATCTCTGTCCACCCTTTACATATATGAAGTACAGCGCCTAAAATCACTGACCCTCCTGGCTGTAAATGGGGAGAACCGTGGTAATCATCTCTGTTATTTATCTGATTCAAAGATTGCTAGAGTCGAGAACATCGAAATAAGAAACCTGCAAATTCATTACTCGTTCCACGTGTGATCGCATTGGGGCGAAATTTGCATTTTACCTAACTGCAATGAACCATTACGAACTGTGTCACGGAAATTCAGCCCTCCATGTTGCTTGCTAATAAGGTATCCGATTTATTGGAAATGGAAAATGCCTTTCCGTCATTCTCATGAAAACAATAAAGGTGCCCGGCTGACACGCATATTAAAGACAAAACCAAAGCAAGCACCTCGTTTTTTGTTTCGCACGATCGACCATACAGGGCGTCATGAACAAAAGGTTTTTAATGAGATGATAGCATATAATTGCTGCAAAGCCGCCACTGGCTTCGCAGCAGACGTGACCATCCTGGGTTGCCTGTGCCCGAAGCCAGCTTCATTTGAGATTTTTGGGTATACATATGTATGTATGTGTGGGTGCGTGTATGTGTGTGTGAGAGTCCGCGGTTAAAGTTAGCCATCATAAGCCCACATTGTAATTCAGTATATTATCAAGACTAGTTTATCCTAAGTTGAGGAGACCTGACTCATTATAAGCCTCGTGGTTTCTTTCAGGTCTCCTCGCCATTTACTTTTCTTTAATCTCGTTATTCCAACCTTGAATTGTAAAATTTTGTATATATGGCAAATAAGGAATGAATGAATGAATAAATGAATGAATTTGGAGCAATTCACAAAGGTTACTTTGAATTAGCCAACCTCATTCCTAAGAAAGACACCGGGAACGAGGCTCTGAGAAATCCAGTTTTCTGCCACACACTGTACTTTGACAAGAACAGTTTTAAGGTGGAGTAAATCTTTTACGCATTATTCGACGAGCTCTCTGGAGCCGGTAGGGTACTTCAATCCCGTCATCCCGACCCAATGCAATGAAGACGAGGATTCAGGAATTTAAAGACAATTGGGGGTGCGATTCGAGATTGAAAGTATGCAAAGGAAGCCGGCGGGATGACGAAAATAACCATCGGTATTACGGGATTGCATTCAAGTTCATTGAATTGGGTCGGGATGACGGGATTGAAGTACCCTACCGGCTCCAGAGACGGAAAATAGTATTTAAGTAATGTTCCACGTAAGAAGGAGGCAAAAAACGCCAGTTCGATGCAAAATCTTCCGTTGTAATCAAAGGTGCTAATTACTTAATTAAATAACATTCGACCTTGCTCATTGGCTGTTATGAGGTTGAGCGCGAAATTTGAATTTGTTTCGATCCCTGAACGACCGAACGCGCGTTTTAGCGAAATATGACAAAACGTGCTTTATTGTAGTTGGAAAAATAGCCAGAAAGTAAAGTCTCAGGCGCATGGGATATGGGGAAGTATTTTTTCTGATTTTTTTTGGTGGTAGCCCCGGGTGTTAAAAGTAACACGACACTTTGCTGTATGCCATTTGTATTGTTCTCGTTTATTGAAGGCATCAAGTTCGCCGCGCCACACGAAATCGTTATACATCAAACAGAACATACATCAAAACAGAACTAGAAATTTGTAAAGGTCTTTCCATAGATCAAGATATGACCGTTCCGATAAAAAAAAGGTTATTTCAGCTGAGAAGAGCTCAGCGACTTAAGAAAAAAATTCGTCAAACAGTTCCTCCTCAAAAGTTGACACCACGGATATTACGTTGTCGCCATCCTCTAGTTTCAATTGCAACTCTCCCCTTGAAACTGACTCAAATGTTTTTGAAAGAAATAACAATTCCTCCACAGTAAAGGTAAATCCATGCGCTACGATCATTTGAAGACTTTCACAGGAGCACAGGCACGCCACTGCCAAAATTGTGAAGTTGCCTTGATTACCGGAAATGTCCACGTATTCAAGACGGCTGAATGCTTTCTTTGCTTGAAAAATGGAGCTTTGCTCGAGGGAGGAACAGTTGGAGATGTCCAAGAATTCTAGATTTTCTGCAGTACGTGACAGTTGTTCAAAATGCCGATTAGAGACTTCGGTCGAGGAAATGTTTAGGTGCGTCAATAAAGCAAACATCTTCAGCGGCACAAAGCGGTACGCATCTTCTGATCTAGAGAGATCCAATTCGTAAGGCTCTGCTTCCTTGAGATACGCTCCTCTTGTGATCACTTTCCACCATACTTTACACACTCTAGCAGCTCTTACCAGGTCTTCAATCTCCAAGAAACTAAAGATCACAGTTAAAACTACCGAGGGAAATTCCATGTTACCCGGCTTGTAATGAAACTGCGCGAGATTCACAAAATGCCCGTCTCGCTCGCACGTGTTCGCCTGATTTTGTCACACCTTTTGATTGGAGCTTCTGTTGAAATCTGACAAAATTCGATTCTTTCATTTTCCACAACTGCCCTTTGTTACCTATAATAGCTGTTTTCCATTTCACACACTCGGCGTAAGCGTGTAGGAACTTTAGGCACTTTGAAGTTGCTTTGTACTCGCCAAGATGGAACAAACGTAAGTACAGTTTTTATGATCTCGTAAATTCGGCTGGTTTCAATATCAGCGCCACCGATCGCCCCATGGCAAAAAAATAGAATTTAGCGAACTTCGTTCGGATATAATACAGACGTGATGGACCAGTGTCCGTATGATTCCTGTGATGAATCATCCATCAGTCGTGGTGATCCTTGGCAATGATGTGGAAACCAGCCTACAGTTATTCTTCTGACATGCGCCCGATAGGTTGCGTTGGCTTGCCTTCAGAATGCACTTAGAATTTGTATGTCACTGTTTTTCGCGTCGTTCTAACAAATAATCGTACACACGTACCAAAGGTTCCTTAAGTCGACCCTTTTTTATATTTGATCTCCATTCACTAGAAAAAAGAGACAGGTCGAAGGAAGTAACAAAGAAGGTGGACAGGAGCAGGATAAACCAAAAAGAATCAAAGCAATTGATGTAAGAACAAGTTCTAATTACTACTAGCTGCAAAATAATTTCAAACGTTCTCTGACATCGCACTGCCTTTGTTGACTTGAATTTCTATTCAACCTTAGGTGAACACCCTAAAGTCGATCTATGGAAAAATTAGTCTGTTTCCAAAGAAAACCAGTGCATTCGAAATATGGAAATGCGGGGAACCTTTCGAGATGATTGCTCGAAGACTACGAGTAGCGGAGGCAACTGTTGAGATCTACGTCATAGATTCCATCGCTCTAGGACAAGGGAATGAAACACTTTACGGAAGGATGCTTGGAGAACTTGACATCAACCAGGAGAAGTTTGAAGTTGTAAAGGAGAGTCTTACCAAAAGTGCTGTAACTCTCAGAGAAATCCGGGATCTCACCTCCTTGAGGTACAATCAGATACGAGCAGTCATTGCCGTTCTCATAAATGCATTTCAGCTGTAGACATAGAAAATTTTATGGACTATACAAGGCCTGTTTTTTTGTGTTTGTTCCTGTTAGACAACATTTGTCAGTTCTTTCATTAAAAAAAAAATCCGTCCGCGCTCAATTTCAAGGAAAACAAATGTAACACAGTTGTAAGAGACACTGTTGAATAAAACACTGTAATCAGCAAGTTTTTATATCTAGTTGCGTGTTTGCAATTTGATTTAGTGTACTTTAGGGAAACGAGACTAGGGGTGTTCCTTTTTCCTTATCAAATCGGAACCTCACCAGGAGATTACCGACCCGCTAGCATAAGCACTGATTTCTGAAGAAGAAATGGGACCACTAGACGAATAAAAGGAAACAGGCGCGGGCCCCAAATCTCCCATAAAGTTACAAAGCAATGACCCCCCAGCCCGCTGCTAGCGCACACCCCTCGCTCTTCATTGGTCTTCAAGAAACGAAAGAAACCAAGGGGAAAATAATGGGTCATTCCTCTTCTCCGTTTGACCCAGTCAAAACCACACAAACAGTGCACAGAAGACACGATACTGTCTATAGAACTGAAGAAAATTTATTTGTCACGACGACTCAACCACTGATGCATGTTTTCAACACCTTCTTCCTTGTATTTTTTTATTCTTTATGTAATTGGCCATAATATCGAAACATCGCTTCCAATTTATACAAAAAGTACTAGATTTTCCAAATTTCTTAACACTGAAAATGAAAGTGCAGCAATATACATATGTATATAATGTAAAAAAAATTGATTCTGCTTTGCTAAAATAGGGTCCAATATCAATTGGAAACCACTAATAATCACCTGATCCAATACTTGCTTTCCTGAAATTGGTCAGAAGTTTCCAAAAATGGCTATAAACAACAAATGGACAGTAAAGCTAAAGAGGCAACGTCTGTACTTTCAATAAATTTCTGTACAAATTTGTATGACATGAGCTTGGGCTTCCCCTGCTACACCCCCATGAGGCAAAGATTTTAAAAACAACAATAAATTATAACTAGAATACTTGTTTTATCAATACATATACAGTCTCAGGTATTTTTTTTACTGGTGTGCCTTAAACCCTTTAAGACCCAATAGTGATCAATCTTCAAATATCTCCTCACAATAATGAGTATCTTGTTGTGACAAAAAGGTTATGAGAATGGATAAAATGGTCCCCAAAAGGAAATAGCGTTGATCTTTCTACAAATTCTCCTCAGCAATTTGTAATTCAATACTGGGTCTTAAAGGGTTGAAAAGCTAATCACTATACACACACTCCAGTTATCGAATTTGTGTGTTTGTTATGTACAGCTCAGAGTCAATAATAAACCGGTGAAATTGATGCAATAGTGAGCGAAACTCCCCAGGTCGCATTCATCATAGCATCAAACCAAAGAGCAAAGGATCCAACACGTCCTCTTTGACAGCATGCAATAATGGCTCCTTTACTGCCATGTCTGTGTGAGTCAACAATCATGACAGACTGATCGCCATTCATAGCTAGCAGGAATGCTCGTTCATCTGCAACTATTACATAATATGACTTTGACTTGTTTTGGGCCTCTTGCATCAACCAGTTGCTCAACTGATTGATTGGGGCAATGCCAAATATATCAATTTGCTGTCCAAGTGATTGTACCCCGCACTCCTCTCCTGCCAAAGAATCTGCTTCATCTACAGTGACATTTGTTGCCTCATTGTCAAACAGGTCATCATGTATTTGGTTTCCTTTTATCATTGCTTCGTGTAAAGCTCCTTTCCAGGACTCAGGAAGAAGGTCACTGGTGGGCCATGTTAAATTCCTTTCAAAGCTCAGCTTTCCCATGAGAAGAGCAATAAAAACACAAGCATTACTGCCTGTCCTACCCTGAATGTCTGACTGGGATGCACTGAAAGTCCACTCCATGACCCCAGAAAAATATGATGAGTCTGATCCTTTCGTACCCGACTGACATGGTTCTATAATAGGTGGTACTCCAACAGGAGGCACAGGTTGTGGTTGGCTAGCAGAATCAACTGGCCCTGATACAGAAAGAGTTGGCACAGAATTGGGCTGTAACATTTTCCATTTCACACACTCGGCGTAAGCGTGTAGGAACTTTAGGCACTTTGAAGTTGCTTTGTACTCGCCAAGATGGAACAAACGTAAGTACAGTTTTTATGATCTCGTAAATTCGGCTGGTTTCAATATCAGCGCCACCGATCGCCCCATGGCAAAAAAATAGAATTTAGCGAACTTCGTTCGGATATAATACAGACGTGATGGACCAGTGTCCGTATGATTCCTGTGATGAATCATCCATCAGTCGTGGTGATCCTTGGCAATGATGTGGAAACCAGCCTACAGTTATTCTTCTGACATGCACCCGATAGGTTGCGTTGGCTTGCCTTCAGAATGCACTTAGAATTTGTATGTCACTGTTTTTCGCGTCGTTCTAACAAATAATCGTACACACGTACCAAAGGTTCCTTAAGTCGACCCTTTTTTATATTTGATCTCCATTCACTAGAAAAAAGAGACAGGCCGAAGGAAGTAACAAAGAAGGTGGACAGGAGCAGGATAAACCAAAAAGAATCAAAGCAATTGATGTAAGAACAAGTTCTAATTACTACTAGCTGCAAAATAATTTCAAACGTTCTCTGACATCGCACTGCCTTTGTTGACTTGAATTTCTATTCAACCTTAGGTGAACACCCTAAAGTCGATCTATGGAAAAATTAGTCTGTTTCCAAAGAAAACCAGTGCATTCGAAATATGGAAATGCGGGGAACCTTTCGAGATGATTGCTCGAAGACTACGAGTAGCGGAGGCAACTGTTGAGATCTACGTCATAGATTCCATCGCTCTAGGACAAGGGAATGAAACACTTTACGGAAGGATGCTTGGAGAACTTGACATCAACCAGGAGAAGTTTGAAGTTGTAAAGGAGAGTCTTACCAAAAGTGCTGTAACTCTCAGAGAAATCCGGGATCTCACCTCCTTGAGGTACAATCAGATACGAGCAGTCATTGCCGTTCTCATAAATGCATTTCAGCTGTAGACATAGAAAATTTTATGGACTATACAAGGCCTGTTTTTTTGTGTTTGTTCCTGTTAGACAACATTTGTCAGTTCTTTCATTAAAAAAAAAATCCGTCCGCGCTCAATTTCAAGGAAAACAAATGTAACACAGTTGTAAGAGACACTGTTGAATAAAACACTGTAATCAGCAAGTTTTTATATCTAGTTGCGTGTTTGCAATTTGATTTAGTGTACTTTAGGGAAACGAGACTAGGGGTGTTCCTTTTTCCTTATCAAATCGGAACCTCACCAGGAGATTACCGACCCGCTAGCATAAGCACTGATTTCTGAAGAAGAAATGGGACCACTAGACGAATAAAAGGAAACAGGCGCGGGCCCCAAATCTCCCATAAAGTTACAAAGCAATGACCCCCCAGCCCGCTGCTAGCGCACACCCCTCGCTCTTCATTGGTCTTCAAGAAACGAAAGAAACCAAGGGGAAAATAATGGGTCATTCCTCTTCTCCGTTTGACCCAGTCAAAACCACACAAACAGTGCACAGAAGACACGATACTGTCTATAGAACTGAAGAAAATTTATTTGTCACGACGACTCAACCACTGATGCATGTTTTCAACACCTTCTTCCTTGTATTTTTTTATTCTTTATGTAATTGGCCATAATATCGAAACATCGCTTCCAATTTATACAAAAAGTACTAGATTTTCCAAATTTCTTAACACTGAAAATGAAAGTGCAGCAATATACATATGTATATAATGTAAAAAAAATTGATTCTGCTTTGCTAAAATAGGGTCCAATATCAATTGGAAACCACTAATAATCACCTGATCCAATACTTGCTTTCCTGAAATTGGTCAGAAGTTTCCAAAAATGGCTATAAACAACAAATGGACAGTAAAGCTAAAGAGGCAACGTCTGTACTTTCAATAAATTTCTGTACAAATTTGTATGACATGAGCTTGGGCTTCCCCTGCTACACCCCCATGAGGCAAAGATTTTAAAAACAACAATAAATTATAACTAGAATACTTGTTTTATCAATACATATACAGTCTCAGGTATTTTTTTTACTGGTGTGCCTTAAACCCTTTAAGACCCAATAGTGATCAATCTTCAAATATCTCCTCACAATAATGAGTATCTTGTTGTGACAAAAAGGTTATGAGAATGGATAAAAATGGTCCCCAAAAGGAAATAGCGTTGATCTTTCTACAAATTCTCCTCAGCAATTTGTAATTCAATACTGGGTCTTAAAGGGTTGAAAAGCTAATCACTATACACACACTCCAGTTATCGAATTTGTGTGTTTGTTATGTACAGCTCAGAGTCAATAATAAACCGGTGAAATTGATGCAATAGTGAGCGAAACTCCCCAGGTCGCATTCATCATAGCATCAAACCAAAGAGCAAAGGATCCAACACGTCCTCTTTGACAGCATGCAATAATGGCTCCTTTACTGCCATGTCTGTGTGAGTCAACAATCATGACAGACTGATCGCCATTCATAGCTAGCAGGAATGCTCGTTCATCTGCAACTATTACATAATATGACTTTGACTTGTTTTGGGCCTCTTGCATCAACCAGTTGCTCAACTGATTGATTGGGGCAATGCCAAATATATCAATTTGCTGTCCAAGTGATTGTACCCCGCACTCCTCTCCTGCCAAAGAATCTGCTTCATCTACAGTGACATTTGTTGCCTCATTGTCAAACAGGTCATCATGTATTTGGTTTCCTTTTATCATTGCTTCGTGTAAAGCTCCTTTCCAGGACTCAGGAAGAAGGTCACTGGTGGGCCATGTTAAATTCCTTTCAAAGCTCAGCTTTCCCATGAGAAGAGCAATAAAAACACAAGCATTACTGCCTGTCCTACCCTGAATGTCTGACTGGGATGCACTGAAAGTCCACTCCATGACCCCAGAAAAATATGATGAGTCTGATCCTTTCGTACCCGACTGACATGGTTCTATAATAGGTGGTACTCCAACAGGAGGCACAGGTTGTGGTTGGCTAGCAGAATCAACTGGCCCTGATACAGAAAGAGTTGGCACAGAATTGGGCTGTAACGAGGCACCATGGTATGGTTCTGATGGTCCTGGTATTCCAGTTCCTTTGAAAAGGATAGGACAATATATTACACTACATATATCTACATTACTTCTAACCTCAAGAAATGGAGTTTTGCTACCCACTAAGGCTCTGCTCCGGGTAAAATCGTAGGAAGCCCAGAGGATTCAATAACAAAATAGGGGGTGCACAGCTCAAATGTTAAAAGCCAAAATTTTACTTTGTCTCCAGAGTTTGTAAAAAAATTAAGACTGGTGTACAATAAACATTTTCACATAGCAATATGCCTGTTCAGACATGTAAACAGGGCCTTAAAAATTATCCTCAATATCATCCTATAAAACTATTGTCTGGTCCATGGCAAGTGTATTTACAGTGTGAGATCATGGCAGGGTGTAGTTGACAATCTTGAAAGCTACCATCCTTGTCCCTGAAAAAAGGTCTGCAGTAGATCTGCTCATATGTGTTATAAGAATACAAAAATAATACCTTGCTGTTCACTTCTCAGTTGACGTGCTTCCTCAATCATGTCTTCTGCAAGTTGTTTCTGTTTACGATGGTAGCTGCTCCACCAACTTTTTATCTGGGACTCTTTCAGTTCTGGAACACCCGCAGCTCTCATTGCTTGAATTACATCTGCTGGATTTGCTCTTATCTGAGACGTCTTTTGGCGATCATAGAACGCAATCATGATGTCTTTCTGCTCATTTGTAAATTTGGTTACCTTAGCCCCACCTTTTTTAAGGGCAAATCCAGGTACGGGTCTGAGGTCATCATTGCCTGAAGCTTCAGCGCGAGGTCTCAGCACTGCATCCTCAGGGGTTGCTGAAGATAGCTGAATAAATTTCACTGAGTACAACTCATTTTGTGCAACCTGTCCTTCCACTGTTGTGTCTGATGGTTCCCAAATGTCCTCTGTCACAGAAGCACCTGTAGCTCCAGCTATTGGCAATGTTCGCGACGAAAGACTGTCAACTTGTGCCTTGGTCTTGCTCACACATTTTCCCTGACCAGCAAGTGATTTAGCTATGATGCCTCCTTTGTATTGCCCAGTCAAAGGAAACAAGAAACTGCCAAAGAGTGAGATGTCTTTGAATGTTCCAATTTTTGCAGGGGCTTTTGAGCGATCAATAATCAATTTTTTGCACTTCACATTCTTCATTGTCTGAAAAGAATAAAAGGATCCTCTTAAAAACATTTACTCATTCTTTGAGCACACAAAGGTGGACGAAAACCAGTGGAAACTGTTGGGAATCTACAACTGGCTGTAGTAGAATAATTGATGCATAAGCATAGACAGAAACAATAGACATAAGGTCGCAGAAGACTTGGAATGATGATCTCACAAATAAATAGGAAATCACTGTGTTTTGCTTTCGAAAACCTAGGGTAAACATTGAAGGAAGTTTGGGGGAGTTTAAAGTACCGGTATGTAAACCGTATGGATCAGATTTACATGAACTTTCAGATTTTCCCAAAATCCCTCTTGTGTTTGTATTTAGTCATGTGAGCACACATGCGTACCATTTTCTGTTCCATAAATAAGATGTTTAAATTACCTCCAAGAGATTTCCAAGTTGCTCTCCAGTATCCAAATCATTGCCGACGCGTACCCATCGTACTATCTTATGGGAGACATGGGCAAAGTGGGTGTCCAGGACTGTTTTCCCCTCCCCAGCCTCAAAGTTGTTGTACTCCATCAACTTTACATTGAAGGCTCTGTTGACCTCTGCTAGGTACAACAGCACCGCAGTGTTATGGTAATGAGGCCCATTATCTGTAAAGACCAAAATGATTTATTTAGCTTCTTTGAGTAATCAAGACAAAGTTAGTTGGAGGGTATAGCTTACAAGTATGGGTGGAAAAACACTATTCTTTAAATGGCATACATTCAGCTGATGAAAACGAAAATAGGTTGGGAGCCCTTTCATTGTACAGTATCAAAATCTACTGTGTTTTCTATGATGTAGGTAAAGGAGTTAAGTAATCAGGAAATAGTGACTATGGAATAAATATAATGTATGTTTCTGAATGTAAGAGACAACATATTTATAACTGAAGGTACTATTGTATTCACATGTATGTTCAGAGAATACTTACCAGAAAAAAGGTACACTTGGAAGTTAGGGAACACCTTCTCCATCCAGGCAAAGCCAATGTCCAGCGCACTTTGCGTGAACCAGGCATCTTGCTTGGTATCTTCTGACCACAAGTCAAGAACTTCTATGTGCCTTTCGCTGTCAGTAACTTGAGCGATAACATAAAAACCATGAAGAGAAATCCCACGTTTTCCGTACCAGTCACGCTGGATTTCTCTGGAATGCATACCAAGTTCGAGTTTCATCTTGTAATCAATGACCACAATGGCTTCTCCTGGCTTCAGGTTCTTCAAAACATACCTAAATGAATGTAAGAGCATCCAAAAATATATTTCACAATTCCATCATAGTTGAGGAGAACTGACTGTATTGTTCTGATAATAATATCAATAATAATAAACAACCATTCTGGTATTAAAGGTGCCTGGGATGACCACTCTCACCTTGATTTGTCCGCATAAGCACACTGTGAAAACCTATGAAACCACCAAATAATATTAAATAATGTTAAATATATAGTGAGCTTTACCTATAATAATCTCCCTGATGTTTTGTCCTTAGCAGGTGGGCAATGTAGTCCCAATAGTTCTTCATGAAGTCAGATAGCACCTCCGAATAGTCTTGCTGCTTCTCAGCTGGGACTGTGGCAATGGCAGCTTTCAGACTTCCGTGGATGTCGTAAATTACATTGAACTCTGGAGAGGCTTCACTGTGGCTACTGGAACATGACTGAAATGCATGATTCATGCACAGCTCTAAGCAACTAGAGTGCCTCTGTGCCTAAATAGATAAAACAAAAGAGGTGTAAGTCGGCAATTTAAAATTGTCTACATACATATACTGAGATAACATAAGGTGTATCTGACTGCAAGAGTGTTATAAGGCTGTGGTCCTTTTAGCCATCAAGATTGAGATTTCGTCCATACAGATCGTTAGGTCTACCTTCATGTTACCTGGGTTAGGAAAATGTATTAAAATGTATTATTATTGCCAACCACCTCCCTCTTCTTCTGACTACTGTAAATAACACCACCATGATCCAGTGAAAAGGGATTTGTTGTCTAACCCCTCCATAATATTCTGCATATAATAGTTTTCAGCAACAACAATATTCTGTATGTAACAATGGCTACAGTTTAGAAATGCCCAAAAAAGCAAAATAGCTCTTGTTCTATTCTTTGAGAACCTTTGTCAGTTTGTGCTCTATTTATGAACTAGAAATAACAGTAAATTAGGGTTTCAAACAGCACACTCCTGTCTATCAACTCTGTAAATGTCATATCTGACCCTAACCCCTCCCTACCCAGCGCCCTTGAATCAATTCAGACATACCGTAATCTCTTCTGATTTTCAGTGCAAAGAACACCCTTTTGCCCTCCCATTTCCAAAAACCCATTCATTTCATGGATATGGACACTTTCTGGACTGATCCAAGAAAGGACATGATTGATACAACAATAAAGTATGTGTAACTTGGTGAAGTTTTTTTATACAAGTAAGGAAATTGCAGTTATAAAAAATATATATAAGTACCTGGTGAGAAAACTTTGTCTTGAGATACCGCTGTAGAAGTGTAATTGACTTCCGAACACTGCCTAGGTCGTCACTCAGAGATTCTGCTCCCAATTTCTGAACCATTTCCCTCAGATTTGAAAAGTTTGAAAAGCCAAAGTCCTCACAAAGATTGCAAAGCCCTGCAAGCATGGTGTTACTTCGGTAATTACTGGGTATATGAGCATAAATGTAGCTTCTTTTCACGCCATTTGGAAATTCCAGAAGATACTGCTTTATCAACTGCTTTATGGAATCTTGCCAATACCTTACAGGACATTCTTCTCCTCCAACCAAGACACTTCTACAAGATGATGGACGGGAAACATCATCTCGTAAGAGAAAATCAGCCAAATGATCCAGGACTTCCTGGGAAACACACTGCCGGGTAAATTTCAGCGATGCTGGGGGAAATCCACCTCTACCAAACAATATGCTGTGTACTCTTGCAGCAGTGACTGTACTCTTTGAACACTGGAAGAGTTCTGTCAAGTACGTTTGTGGATACTCTGCAGCAACAATTGACAGCAGTCTACGTCTCTCTGCAGAATAACACACAACCCTCCCCATGCTTCGTGCTGCTTCTGTCCGGGATTTAAAGCAGTCAGGTGTAGTACCTTGAAAGGCAATGGAACTGCTTGACATTGTTCCTGAAATGTTGATTGCCTGCTTTAGCTTCCTTCCCTTGCTTCTTATTAGGCTGTTGGTCTCCTTGCTTTTGCATTCCTTATACTCCTTTACAATGGATTGCAATACCTTATCTTGCATACACTTGTCTTGTTTTACCTCTGGTACACCAAAGGTGGTTGCCCATTTCTTGGATTGAATGAGATCTTGAGCAATGGTGGCAAGTGAATCCTCTTCTCCATGAACATACCCAGATAACAAATGTCGGATCTGATTGATTATTTCGGTCCTGATATCGCTTCTCTTTCTTGACTCGTACAAATGGTATGGTCTCACAGGGAATTGTTCCACCTGAGTGCTCTTATCTGCAGTAGACACTGCTGAGTTGCAGGGTTCTGTTTGTGTCTGACTGCTACAAGTTTCCACAACATCTTGACAATCGCTATTGTCAACAATGTCAATAACTGGACATTCCAGACTTTCGTTTCTCTCGCTGATATCTTCTACAGTTTTCTGTAATATAGGTAAACACAGACAGTTCGTAAGTAATATCATATATTATAAATAAAAACATATTGATTGTATGTAGAAGTAGATTTAAGTTATTAAGAACGGTGAACGTCCAAAAACCAAAAGATAAAGCAGGCATGGCAAGTCATTCTGGCCTCGCTTTGTGGTTTGGAAATCAGCTAAAGAAAAATTACAACTTATCGGATAAAACGTACCTGTAGCTTTTCGCATTTAGCCTCCAGTTTCAAACGATCTCTGCAAGACACACAAATCCACCTTCGTCGTCCATTGTGCCGGCCGTCTCGATTTACTCCACATACGCGGATTTCGCTGTCTGAAGCAACTCGAAGAACGGAAGAATCGGCGTGTCCCCACGTAGAGTGATGTGGACAACAACAAGAAGCTGGCTTAGGCATTTTATAGCCTAGAAACGTACTCGAAAGAAAATCTACTTCTATTTATATCTATTTACATCGAAATAAACTATTTACACACGAAAAAGATTAAACCCTACGCTAAGCAACAAAGAAATTACAGCAAGTCGAAGACGAAACACTCTATTCCAAGATGGCGGACGTCAAGTCGTGAGACCCGTGCTTCAGTAGTCCCAGTTCCCCGTATCCTATGACAACGACACTTGGCATAGAGAAGCAAGGGAACCCTGGGACCAAAAATACGTGAAAATAATCTGGAAAAAATCATTTTAAGACTATTTTTTGGCGTTTTTGGATTATTCAACCAATCAGCGAGCTCCATTTTAATTGGGTTAATAATTTAGAAATTGACACCATATTACATTTCGTGCATTACCTGTGCCCATTTCTTACGTGGAACATTACTTAATGGTAAACTGCATGTGTGATCAAATCCTGTCAGAAAACATTAGCTGAAACATAAACCACAGGAACTAATTCAATTCGATATGCATGGAACAGACCAGCTTCATAACCTCTAAATGTGAGACTCAAAGCGGAAAAAAAATTGCTCAGTCAAAATGTAGAATACTCCACGCACTGCATAAACTACGCAAAAAGAGAGCAAGAAATACCTCTGTTGCTCAAACTGACTACTCTAGGGTCACGTTTCACATTATCACGAGCTCAGTCTCTCTTGTTACGAGCTATGAGTCATGTGTGGCCTGTCAACACTTAATTCAAATCGGACTAATCACAAACTGCGTAAGAAACTAGCCAATCAAAAACGCCGACATATGTCCTTGCGACTCTGCGGGATTCCAACCACAGGGTCCAGAGGAGTTTCGTGTGAATAAATAAATTACTTAATTAAAGTCTCACCTTGAAAAATGTCTATACTTGTCGCTTAGCACGATTAATTAGCCCAATGGGATCTTTATGAATCTACTGTAAACGATTTCTTCGCTTCTTATCTGACCCAGATCGACTTTGTTGTTCGCCATTTTGAAAATCAATAACCGCAAGCCATAGCCTCGCTGGCGCACGGCACGTCGCCCGAAGGGCGACCGAGGCACGAAGTGCCGNAAATTACGAGAATTTGGCGTCGCTCGCTCGGAGGAACTGGAGGTGAATCAGAGTGAATAGTGCAGGAAACACCGCGGCAAAATGTCTACACATGCGCCAGGTTGTGCATTTCCGGTCTCTTTTTCAGTCACACTTTCCAGTCAAATCGAGTCGCCACCGCGCGCTCGGCTTCATTTTGTTTGCAGCTTATGGTTCAGTTGTTCTGCTTCATCCGGCTCGTGTTTTTGACTATTTTGTAGTTATTGAAATTGCTTTTATGGATAACCAGGCACAGATCACTGAAACAATTAGTCGATTAGATTCAGAAAAGGTAAGTTGATAATAACTCAGTGTTTGATTTTGGCTAGAGCTTCAGGTAAACTGATTTTCATTCACGAAAACAAAGTTTTTGACTGTTATTTCTCACTTAACCTGGCTGAAACTAAGACATAAAAAGTTATCATTGCAAGCTTATGTATTGTAGTTCTAATTTTCAGTTTTTCAGTTTCTCAGTCTTCATGTCTTAAAGGCGATTCGAGCTTTACTTCGAAAACGACAACACACAATCGCTTTGTAGTTTTATTTACCACTGAGTTTTACCGCGTTTTGAAACGAAACTTTTCAGAGTTGATTGCCATGAACTTAAGCTTAATTATACTGTTGAGGTTGGCAGCAAGTTGACAACTCTATTTATTTTTTTCATTCTCAGTTTCAGAGAGCGAAAAGCTGGTTCCATGGCTTTTAGAAGTTGAAATTTTCATGCCATGTATTTAGCAGCTGGAAGTTTCGTGTTTGCATGAGATGCAGCCGAGCCGCACAGTCTGAAATTACTGAAGTCAAAAACCAAAGAACAACCATGTAAAAGAATTAAATAGGCATTTTCTTGAATGAAAGTCATTTATAGGCATGTTTAGTTTGCCGGCACTGAAAGCTCCGGGTGTTCGTGACTGCAGAAGTTGTTATTAAATCCCCCCCATCTTTTGTTTTGAGTTGTTGTTTTCTCTAATAATAAAAAAATTATTGAACGGACTAAAATTTTATTTCCTGGTTCTAGTGTTAATGATAATGATGACGTCTTTATTTTGGTTTCTTTCATAGGTATTTCCATTCTTTTCTTAGTTATCGCCTTCTCCCAAATTAACTTATGCCAAACCAGTAGCATGCAAGAAAGCCAGTAAAAACAAATTCGTCTTGTCGAGCGCTCGCGACCTGCAAACTTCAAACGTCATTTTCACCGTTGGCGCAAACAGATAACCATGTGGTGCAAAAGTTTGACACTAGAAAAATATATAGGCTTTCGAATGAAGTGATTTTTTTCGCCCCCTTGTTTGTCTGTTTCCCCTTTTTGCTTTTAAACTTGGCGCGACGGCAAAGTTATGCTTACGCAGTTGGTTTATATACTAGACCGGAAATAAAAAGCTGATCGGATGTTAAATTTTGTGCTCATGCGCAGTGCGTTTTGCCGCGGTGTTAGTGCAGGATATTCACTGATTGATTAGCCAATCAGAGCGCGCGAAAAACATTATCCACTGTTTTAGTATATACTAAACAGATTTAACCAGGGCTAAAAGCGAAGCTCCCATTAATAAATTCAGTTAACTTTAGAGCACATTCAAGTGACTTTCGAGGGAAAGGCTAAGTGTGAAACGCTGTTAAAGTGATTTTAGAGAAAAATAATTTGCAAACAGCCGAAGAGTTAACCAAATCTTACATTGAGCTGATAACCTCATATGTACATCCAAAAAATAGCAATCATCTTCGATCACATTTAAGAGCCATAATGGCTCTTGATTTGATCACCGTAGATTAACTAGGCCTGGAAAAAAGATCAGGCCGAATCTTTTGCGTTCGACAAGTTTACTTTACAAAATCTTGCCACTAAATCTGGGTACGTGTAAACCAACCTTTTATACAATTTATACATCACATCTGAGGTGAAACAGTACTATGAGGCACTGTTTTTATCATACAGACCTCGGACAGAATGCAGTATTTCACAACTTTGCAATACAAATAGACAAATTGTACTCATTCACTATTCAGGAGGATCGAAGCACGCGTTGGCTTTTAGCTAAACCGTCTAAAAAATTTCCAAAATTACCTATACGGCCAGCCGATTCTCACTTTTGCAGTGTGAGCTGTGGTCGAGTCTTCGAATGAGCATTAATTAAGTTACGCTCCAACATAATAAATAATTTATTATGTTTATTTTTCATATCGATGTGCAATCTTCAAAAGCGTTTGATACGCCCGGCATTTTGAGTACTCCTGCAAGCAATGTTCACTAAACGACTGAAAACAAACGGCACAGCGATTAAAATTACAAAAGAGACTACCAATAATCAATAAAAGAAATATAATTCGGTGAAACATATACAGACAACAGTGTTTATTCACGAAGACAAGTATTAAACTGTTTCTAAAAAATCCTGAGTCTTCAAGCTTGAAGCTTACAACACGTTTATGTCTTAAGCCGGCTTCATGGTGTTTGCTTTTTTCAAAGATAAACTCGAGGCAAGAAAGTCGTTCAAAACTTTCTTTGTACAGCCAGAATTATAACTAAATATTCTTTGGAACGCTTTCTTTCTATTTGTATTGTTAGATAGAGACAATACAAGAAAAGACAGAAAAGAGGTGGTGTGCATGCTAACGACTCACACCACCCCTTTTCTGCCTTTTCTTGCATTGTCTCTATCCAACTGTGCACCAGACATCACATATACCACTCGCCACGGTTAGAGCAGCGAGAACTTTTAGAAATCATTTGTTTGAAAAACTGCCGATCACCAAATGAATATTTTAATATTTCATTATCGTGAGGCTTGACCATGATTTGTACCGAGAGTAGTCTCACGGACTAACTTTACTTTCACTGTCAAGTTATCTTTATTTTTACCTTTGTTTTTAGCAATATATGTATAGAATAACTATTTTGACACCATATATTTCTAACTCGCAAAAATTCATGTTGTTTATGATAGACGTCAACAGTAAATGATGACAGAGCAATGTGAAGAGATAGAGTTGGAAGGAATGAATGGTGATAATTCGAATAGAAAAAAAGAAGACGATGTAAAGGAAAGGAAAGGTTAGTGCTGTTGGAATGTTGAACTTATTAAACGGAGTGGGTGTTGGACTCCCCTATTTAAGCTTCGTATCAATGAACGTGGAGCGTGACGGGTTAAATTTCGAGGCCCTTTAACAAAGTATCCTTTTTGGCATTGTGATCCTTACATAGGCCACGCCTAAAGCACAGGACCTACCGTAAGCCACTTTAAATAACTTATGCTACCTTGCTAACACACTAACAAAACAATTCAACTGTATAGAATTCAATGCCATATGAAAGTCCATTGTGAATTGAGAAAAGGCGAAATCGTCAAAACTTTTGGGCCGGTTATTCAAACGGAGTTTAGCCAGTGTTTAACAAAACCGCTTTGCAAGCCATTATAAATTTGCCCAACGCTTTTATCTTGACACAATTTTATTTATCGAGAATAATTTTATTAAAGCATATATCGTGGACAGGAAAAGCACTTATCTTCTTTCAGTAACTCATTAACAAAGAAATCTGGATGTGCAAAGATTTTCTTTAATTTTCTTTCTTTTTTGTGTAGATTAAAGTATTGTAGTTATTAGTAACAAAAAACGTTAAATGAGGTCTAGGCCTGGGTCTGTCCCCCCAAAAAACAAACAGTACCTTATGGTGAAATTTTCTGTCAGATATTGTGAAGTATAAATGTAGGTACATAACTGTTTGTCCGGGCCCCATAAGAAAACACGTAACAAGCTTACGGGAACACAAACGTCGGCCTTAGGTTTTCCCTCAAGACAGACAAACTGACCCTATTAATCGTAACCTGTAAATTTCTACTACTAAAGAGTCCTATGTCTTCAAAAAGGGTGTGTTGGGGTTTCGATGCTGTAGTTTGGAAGAATTCTACTACTGTGATCGAAATTGATGCATTGTGAAAACATGCGACCTTTAGCTCTCTAGGAGAGCTTCTTTCATTTTCGGTGTGTTTGCGAGGTATTTTTTCTTAATCACCCAAGCCCTTCCTCTAAAGTTTATCTGAAATCGAAGGCTCCTAAAGTTAAGTAAGGGTTTCTTTTTAGTGGCTTAGAGTTTATTAGTTGCTCTATTAATTGTATATAAGTGGAAGCTTGGCTAGATACTATGTATACTTGGTAAATGTTGGCGACCCTATAGCGGCACACGCTCATCCAAAATTGACCGGAGTAGTACCCCCGACGGACCGCAATAGCCAGTTCAGTAAGATCAACAGTTTCAGAAACCTCAGGCATTTACGCTTTCGACGATTTTACTTGGCTGCCTCTTGATATTCATTTCAAAATTTGTCTGGATAGCACGCCCCAAGCGGGATCACACTGGAATAAGAACTGAAATATGGGCTGCCAGCAGTCTCGGGGAAAAAATATAAATAGGATCATTATAATACAGAGCAGTTGAAATTTACCATGATATCCATACGGAAAAAGAGCCGTCTTATTGTTGTAGAATATCAAGAAGCCAGGTTTCAAGGTAATCCAAGCTCTGTATCTTTTAAAGTCCTCTATTATTGACTTCTTATTGTAAGATGCTTTATACTCCTTACTCATTTCATTTTCTTTGGAATACTTATGGAAGGGTCTGCGTAATTCTATGCAGAGAAGCGAGTCATGATTGGATGAAATGGATGAATGTGACACTGAATGTTTCTCCCAGGCACAACCTTGGTTGAACAAAATTGCTTATCCTTAACCTTTTGTCACTAGATTTTGAACGTAAACTGAGAAGGACTTTAAGGAAAGGCGATGTTGATGATATCACTGACGTGTTATCACCGCGGGCTCTTACAAAATGCGACACCAATGCGTTACTTATGGCAATGGAGGTGGGTCATGAAAAAACAAAATATTCCTTTATTTGTTGTTTGTTCTAGTAAATTCTTCCCTCATGATCTACGTTATGTGTTGTAGTTGCTTTTTTATGATTAATAATTCTAGTGAGGATTTCGTATGAAAACTTACTACTTGTTCTTCAGTCTTCCACGGCCGTGACATGGCGATTATTGCACCTCTCTAAGGACGGCAAAATAATCAGCTAAATGTACCTATCCTTGCATATTGCTCAAAATAGAGAGCTTATTAGTTGAAAAAAAATATATATGTTCACAAATGGCACCAACAGAAACGCCAGTTTAAAATACTTTTTTGGTTTTCGGATGCTACTAAAACGAGGAACAGGCACGTGGAACGGGAAAATGAAAACAAGGCTGGGCATTGCAAGTGAAGTCACTGATAGGGCAAGGCTTCAATTTAAGCTTTGTTCCCATTTTTCTTTTCCCCGTTCCCTGCGCTTGTTCCCGGCTCCTTTCCCTCGTTTACGTAACATCCTACAATTCCAAAACCAAGAGAAGATAAAGTTTAAAGCTTGTCAAAACTTATTGCTTATTTTAAAAACTTATTAGCCTATTGGTAATCAATATATCAAACGTTTAACAGCGAAAGCAACGACCTTAGCTATCACTTTGAGCTATCAAGAATTTCGAAGAAGGTCTGGTTCTTGAAAAACAACAAACACACAAATAAAACGTGACGTACAAACTAGAGACCTTCTAACCCAAAGGCCCCTTTACTGCCACAGGTAAATTTCGAGCTCCGACGGTTAGCAGAACGAAAGGGACAAGACGAAGATAACTTCACCAAGTTGGCAAACTCAGTGGACGAGTTCACCAATTGCTTACTTGAGCCTTTGAAGACCGACAAAGAGGCTCGTTATATCTTCGGGGAGGCTCTGGATTGTATTGTAGAAGCTGGTATCAAACGCGAGCAAAAGAAGGTGATTTAATTTTCTAGTGCTATAACCATGAGCAGTTGAGCTAAGTAGATATGGTTGCTTTTATCACGAGATTTCTCATGGTGAACAATGATTTTTTGAGTTCTCCGTTCAGTCCTGATGGTTTTACCTTTGATTTTTCGTTATATTCGGTGTATCTGGATCGAAGAACAGTTTTTCAAAGTAGCTCTTGGGTTGCTACTGGGTTGAGTTATGATGAGAACTTTGTTTCACTGGCATGGAAATGTTGAAAATGAACCCCTGAAAAATAAATTAGATGGGATAACAAGATATAACTCGATTACATTTTTAAATATTAACAAAAAACTTTTTTCTTGTGTGCAAACTTTTATCGCAGTTTTTCGCTCATCCAGTTGTGCAGAACTTAATGAAGAAGAAATGGTTCGGAAGATTCGGTAAAATGAAGAGATCTTCCTGGCTGGAGGTTAGATGGTGGACATGGATAATACTCAACATTTGGTGTTTATTTGACATCATTTTGTTTCCATTCTTGTTCACTTTGTTTTATATCAAGCATCGCATCAACAGAGTTGTACATCGAAGTAAAGGCAAGTAATTAAGTTGAGATAGTGTTAGATTAGTGCTCTACAAACGATTTTGAAACGATTTTGGTTTCTAGATCAGGTCCATAATGCAAAAATAAGGTTACTCTAATGAAACTTTTCTCGACATTTAGATACCTTCAAAACGAAGACCTAATTAGGTCACCTGACTACACTGGCTAGCACCCTTCTTAATTTTAATCATCAAACCATGATAGACTCATTACCACCACAGGATCGCATGACAAACATCTACAACGTAGATCTTTATCATTTAGTTTTTAGGTGCTATACTTATCGGAAAATAATGATTATTTACAGCGATGGATCTTGCCTTTGTTATAAATGCAACTTCTGATGCCGCAGACGATGCCTTCGACCTGATGAAATGCACCTTAGATTACTTGCTTCACAAGTACAAAAACTACCAGGTGAAGTTTCAGATCTTCTTACATGGAGATGAAGATACATCTCTGAGAGAGATTTCTTTACCAGAAGGCGTGGAACATTTAACAAGGAATACAGACGTTAAAATTCCTGCCCTTCATGATGATCTGAGGATAGTGGAACAAGCCTTCAAACAGAGTGGGGGATCAAACTCAGAAAAGGTAGGAATTGAAAAAAAAGAAAGCTAGAAATTGTACCAAAGGCCTGCCCTTATTCCATCTCGTTCCATTCTTCAAATGTTGGCACATTTTTCGGAAGTTGAATTCTAGAAGACTGTATCGAAGTTCAGTGAAAGAAAACGAAAGTTGTTGTCTTGTGTTCACGTCATCTACTAAACGTGAAATTAGGCACTTTCTCGTCGTAGTCGTGCAGTGACGGCAAAGAATGTACAAAGAGCTTGATTCATGTGCAAAGTTGCTGTTTTGCCGTTCCCGTTGCTGTCGCTGTCCTTTTTGTTTAAACTCTCCAATAATATGTATACATCGGTGATGCAAAGTATTAGACTAGCAGTGACCAGTCTAAATATTCTTTTGTTCGGTCGTTTCCGTCGAAACTGACACTAATGACAAATGTAACATTTAACCGGATCAATTCCTTAAGGCGACGTTACCTTTTTGATAAAGCACGTATCAACTTCATTTTCCAACATAAGGCCGGCTTTTATATTTTATTTTATTCGAATGGCTAAATTTCAATGTGAATAAGTGTAAAAAGACTCGAACGCCAAAACTAGGTTTTACACATAGTACGAAGGAAATAGAGCACTACTAAAAGTTACGACTTCAGTTACGTGGTGACCTACGAAGATTTGTGTTTTCGGGTTGACGCTGAAATTGTGTAGTGACTCTAAAATTAGTTTGGGGGTCGTTGTCGGGACTGGAATGAGTCAGCAGTGATTTAGTTCCTAATAAATTCATTGCCACGCTACACAGCCTTAACTTAAAGGAGAAAAACAAACCTATCATCCGGGCTGAGGCAGCCAGCGCCGCGCCCGGGTGCCGTTTACTGACGAGGCGAGTGCAACGCTCTCCTTTAAGGGACAACCTATTAACAAAGTTGTTCAAGATGTCGCCTATGTATTCTTTTAATCTCCTCGTTTATCTATCTAGGACATGTAAAACTACCCAGACGCTAACGGAAGCCCAAAGAACACCTCTGGACGTCTTCTTAATGTAAAATTACGAGCAGCCATCTTTTTTCTTAGTCCCACGAGCTAAAACCGAGCGAAAAGAAAATAGCCACGCGTGTGACTGAGGGCTCCCAAGCTCCTTGCTTCTCACGGCTTCTCCACTCGCGTGTTACACGAGTCACTCCGCTATGTTTTAAGACTGAAGTAAGAGACTTCTCGTAGTCAGAGAAGCTCCTCAGGTAAATTAAGGCATGGGCCTCAATTTGCCTTAATTTGCTCTCTTCAAAAGTGAGGGGGTGTTCTATATCTAAGAGCTTTAGATGAAGAGACATAAGACTTTGCCAGCTAACCACATTTTTAGTTTGATTTTGTCACTAGATTTTGAACGTAAACTGAGAAGGACTTTAAGGAAAGGCGATGTTGATGATATCACTGACGTGTTATCACCGCGGGCTCTTACAAAATGCGACACCAATGCGTTACTTATGGCAATGGAGGTGGGTCATGAAAAAACAAAATATTCCTTTATTTGTTGTTTGTTCTAGTAAATTCTTCCCTCATGATCTACGTTATGTGTTGTAGTTGCTTTTTTATGATTAATAATTCTAGTGAGGATTTCGTATGAAAACTTACTACTTGTTCTTCAGTCTTCCACGGCCGTGACATGGCGATTATTGCACCTCTCTAAGGACGGCAAAATAATCAGCTAAATGTACCTATCCTTGCATATTGCTCAAAATAGAGAGCTTATTAGTTGAAAAAAAATATATATGTTCACAAATGGCACCAACAGAAACGCCAGTTTAAAATACTTTTTTGGTTTTCGGATGCTACTAAAACGAGGAACAGGCACGTGGAACGGGAAAATGAAAACAAGGCTGGGCATTGCAAGTGAAGTCACTGATAGGGCAAGGCTTCAATTTAAGCTTTGTTCCCATTTTTCTTTTCCCCGTTCCCTGCGCTTGTTCCCGGCTCCTTTCCCTCGTTTACGTAACATCCTACAATTCCAAAACCAAGAGAAGATAAAGTTTAAAGCTTGTCAAAACTTATTGCTTATTTTAAAAACTTATTAGCCTATTGGTAATCAATATATCAAACGTTTAACAGCGAAAGCAACGACCTTAGCTATCACTTTGAGCTATCAAGAATTTCGAAGAAGGTCTGGTTCTTGAAAAACAACAAACACACAAATAAAACGTGACGTACAAACTAGAGACCTTCTAACCCAAAGGCCCCTTTACTGCCACAGGTAAATTTCGAGCTCCGACGGTTAGCAGAACGAAAGGGACAAGACGAAGATAACTTCACCAAGTTGGCAAACTCAGTGGACGAGTTCACCAATTGCTTACTTGAGCCTTTGAAGACCGACAAAGAGGCTCGTTATATCTTCGGGGAGGCTCTGGATTGTATTGTAGAAGCTGGTATCAAACGCGAGCAAAAGAAGGTGATTTAATTTTCTAGTGCTATAACCATGAGCAGTTGAGCTAAGTAGATATGGTTGCTTTTATCACGAGATTTCTCATGGTGAACAATGATTTTTTGAGTTCTCCGTTCAGTCCTGATGGTTTTACCTTTGATTTTTCGTTATATTCGGTGTATCTGGATCGAAGAACAGTTTTTCAAAGTAGCTCTTGGGTTGCTACTGGGTTGAGTTATGATGAGAACTTTGTTTCACTGGCATGGAAATGTTGAAAATGAACCCCTGAAAAATAAATTAGATGGGATAACAAGATATAACTCGATTACATTTTTAAATATTAACAAAAAACTTTTTTCTTGTGTGCAAACTTTTATCGCAGTTTTTCGCTCATCCAGTTGTGCAGAACTTAATGAAGAAGAAATGGTTCGGAAGATTCGGTAAAATGAAGAGATCTTCCTGGCTGGAGGTTAGATGGTGGACATGGATAATACTCAACATTTGGTGTTTATTTGACATCATTTTGTTTCCATTCTTGTTCACTTTGTTTTATATCAAGCATCGCATCAACAGAGTTGTACATCGAAGTAAAGGCAAGTAATTAAGTTGAGATAGTGTTAGATTAGTGCTCTACAAACGATTTTGAAACGATTTTGGTTTCTAGATCAGGTCCATAATGCAAAAATAAGGTTACTCTAATGAAACTTTTCTCGACATTTAGATACCTTCAAAACGAAGACCTAATTAGGTCACCTGACTACACTGGCTAGCACCCTTCTTAATTTTAATCATCAAACCATGATAGACTCATTACCACCACAGGATCGCATGACAAACATCTACAACGTAGATCTTTATCATTTAGTTTTTAGGTGCTATACTTATCGGAAAATAATGATTATTTACAGCGATGGATCTTGCCTTTGTTATAAATGCAACTTCTGATGCCGCAGACGATGCCTTCGACCTGATGAAATGCACCTTAGATTACTTGCTTCACAAGTACAAAAACTACCAGGTGAAGTTTCAGATCTTCTTACATGGAGATGAAGATACATCTCTGAGAGAGATTTCTTTACCAGAAGGCGTGGAACATTTAACAAGGAATACAGACGTTAAAATTCCTGCCCTTCATGATGATCTGAGGATAGTGGAACAAGCCTTCAAACAGAGTGGGGGATCAAACTCAGAAAAGGTAGGAATTGAAAAAAAAGAAAGCTAGAAATTGTACCAAAGGCCTGCCCTTATTCCATCTCGTTCCATTCTTCAAATGTTGGCACATTTTTCGGAAGTTGAATTCTAGAAGACTGTATCGAAGTTCAGTGAAAGAAAACGAAAGTTGTTGTCTTGTGTTCACGTCATCTACTAAACGTGAAATTAGGCACTTTCTCGTCGTAGTCGTGCAGTGACGGCAAAGAATGTACAAAGAGCTTGATTCATGTGCAAAGTTGCTGTTTTGCCGTTCCCGTTGCTGTCGCTGTCCTTTTTGTTTAAACTCTCCAATAATATGTATACATCGGTGATGCAAAGTATTAGACTAGCAGTGACCAGTCTAAATATTCTTTTGTTCGGTCGTTTCCGTCGAAACTGACACTAATGACAAATGTAACATTTAACCGGATCAATTCCTTAAGGCGACGTTACCTTTTTGATAAAGCACGTATCAACTTCATTTTCCAACATAAGGCCGGCTTTTATATTTTATTTTATTCGAATGGCTAAATTTCAATGTGAATAAGTGTAAAAAGACTCGAACGCCAAAACTAGGTTTTACACATAGTACGAAGGAAATAGAGCACTACTAAAAGTTACGACTTCAGTTACGTGGTGACCTACGAAGATTTGTGTTTTCGGGTTGACGCTGAAATTGTGTAGTGACTCTAAAATTAGTTTGGGGGTCGTTGTCGGGACTGGAATGAGTCAGCAGTGATTTAGTTCCTAATAAATTCATTGCCACGCTACACAGCCTTAACTTAAAGGAGAAAAACAAACCTATCATCCGGGCTGAGGCAGCCAGCGCCGCGCCCGGGTGCCGTTTACTGACGAGGCGAGTGCAACGCTCTCCTTTAAGGGACAACCTATTAACAAAGTTGTTCAAGATGTCGCCTATGTATTCTTTTAATCTCCTCGTTTATCTATCTAGGACATGTAAAACTACCCAGACGCTAACGGAAGCCCAAAGAACACCTCTGGACGTCTTCTTAATGTAAAATTACGAGCAGCCATCTTTTTTCTTAGTCCCACGAGCTAAAACCGAGCGAAAAGAAAATAGCCACGCGTGTGACTGAGGGCTCCCAAGCTCCTTGCTTCTCACGGCTTCTCCACTCGCGTGTTACACGAGTCACTCCGCTATGTTTTAAGACTGAAGTAAGAGACTTCTCGTAGTCAGAGAAGCTCCTCAGGTAAATTAAGGCATGGGCCTCAATTTGCCTTAATTTGCTCTCTTCAAAAGTGAGGGGGTGTTCTATATCTAAGAGCTTTAGATGAAGAGACATAAGACTTTGCCAGCTAACCACATTTTTAGTTTGTGTCAATTTTGTGCTTTAAAATTATGCAAATTAGGTCACGTGACCTCCATCGGCTGAAAAAGCTTGTTCTTCAAACGGCAACACTTTTTCGTGCGTCTTCAATTATTTTACCGGTTGCATAATGTTAATGCCGTTTAATGTATCACTTCTGTGCTTGGCCTTTTTTTAGATATTTAAAATCGAAGGCGTTAAGATGGGATACAATTGCTTTGGGGGACTTGGTCTAGTTGAAAAAGCCGTTTATTTTCTAAAACAGTGAAAAATTCAAAAAAGGCCAAGCACAGTCTTGTAGATGCTTGCATTATACATTGTCCTAAACCAGTCCGGTTTAATAACTCACAACAAAAGTGTTGTCATTTTTGTTTAAAGACGTTTTATTGTTTTCTGGCCGTGTGGAGTCACGTGACAACATTTGCATAATTGAACATCACCTAATTGACAGAAACCGGCACACATGCATGTATCTGGCAAAGTTTCATCTTTCTACTGCTTACGTGCTCAGAGATAGACCACCCCCCATTGCTTTTTTACTGAATCATTGGGGACCCATGCCTTAATTTACCTGAGTCTCTGTAATGTTGTCACTCGAAAGAAGTTCTTCATTAACAAATTGTAACTTTTCAGTTCACTTTGTCATATGTACTGTATATGTAACCCGTGCTGAGTCCTCCAGTGCGTGTGAGCAGCCGTTTAAGGTTTATATACCGCTGAAACTACTAATCTTTGTTTGCAACATTGTTTTTAGGTCTTGGTGTTGTTTACTGATCACAAAGTTTGTTTAAAACAAAACAAGGAGCTCGTTGAGAAAGAAATCAAGAAAATCAAAGAGATCCAGGGAATAACGATTTTATCAGTGGGAATTGGTTCTCACATAGACATCCGCGAATTAAAAGAAATCAACAGTGACGAACGCAAAGTCATGCGCTTTGGAGAATACACAAATAGAAAAATCGTGGGGAAGAGTATCTCACACGGTATGTTGTTATTTGGCTTAACACAACTTGGAGGTCAGAGACGCCAAGGAGTAAGCCTAAAGTCGATAAATGCTACGTCGTGAAAGTCGAGTAACGCAAATTATTCAGTATCAAGTTTGCCAGTATTTCTGTTGGAAGGATAGTAAAACCACGTCATTTGACAATCATCGTGCCTAAAAGCATGGACAAAAAATATTAAAATAGCAATTGTATGAAGTGGGGCTGATGACCTGGTGGCTTTTTTAAAATTCTGGAATAATAATTCCCCGCAATCGTGGAGCGAGTCTATTGTCGAAATTCTCATCTCGCGTGGAACGTCCGTGGATCGCACAGCGAGGTAGAAACAAGGGTCGGCTTTACATATGTATTTCTGGTTGATAGTTGTAGAGACGTCATCGATCGTGACGTCCAGCTGCATTAAGTTTTCTTAGCAACACGACTTCCACTGTGTGCTCTATCATGTTTTTCATCCCCTGTAAAAAAAAATGATTACATACCTCAAGCCGAGTTCTCGGTCAGTACTGTACATTACGGACCGAGTTTTTTCCGTCGATTTATGGCCTTAGTGCTAAACGAAGTGTTGCGATTAACGTATTTCTAGGGGGCTGGGATCACCATTGTAATGACTGGCGCCAAATGTAATTAGAGTCACAAATGTATAAGCGGCTCGTTACAAAAATGATAATGGGGGCCTTGGTAGCAAGTAATTGGTCACAAACAGGAGCGGATTACTTTGGCTCCTGGTCACAAATGTAACAATAGTCGCCAATATCATATCAGGGGTGGGTCATAATTGTTGTCAATCTTGCTACCATCATTACGCGTCCTCGCACAGATTAGGAAAGTGTCTGATTGTTTAGTTATTTATATTTATTTAAATTTGCTACAAAATTCAAGAGTATCCAGTTGTTATGTACGCCAAGAAAATAGCTGTTAGTTTAGTGTAACAAGTTATGAAAGAGGTAACCGGCGGGAGGGGTCTTACGCGCGTTTCATGTGCACCTTGCCTACTAATAGGAATCAAGTTTGCAAGTGGTATTGCCTTTGGAA